GCACAAGCATTAACCTTAACAAATGCGCGCGAAGAAATTTTGTGTTTTTAATGCTAATTTCGGCGAAATTGATCAAAACTCCCTAAAATGTGCAATTTTAAGAGGAAATTGGCCTACCTCAACAAGAAATGCGCTTATGTTATATATGGCCACACTTTTTTTTAAACTGATTATAAGCATTTTCATTATGGCTTTATTTATTACAAACATATTCTTTCACCATCATTACACATTGAGGTCCTTCTTTTAGGTAAAACGATCTATCTTAAATTTTCTTTCTTGAGTTTGGGACTATTATGTGTTTAAATAACTTAGAAGGCAAAGTAGGGCAAGCACAAGCTTTACCCTTAAAAATGCGCGCGAAGCGCGCGAAAGAATCTTGTGTTTTTAATTCTCCTTTCGTCGAAATTGAGCAAAACTCCCTAAAATGTGCAATTTTTAGAGGAAATTGGCCTACCCCAACAAAAAACCAAATTTGAGAGTTTCAGTTTCTTCAATGGGGAAAGATTTTCCATAGATGGATATTTTCCCCTTGTCCAACGGTGGATACGCCACTGTGGGGAATATCTGGCGGCTTAGATCAAATGCGATATGGACACTTTTTGAAGTGGAGAAGGGGTTGCCGGGTATTGTGATATCTGTTCATTATATCTTCCTTTTTATTTTTGTCTTTATTTTTCTCTTCTGTTTTTCTTTTCCTTTTTCTTTTCCTTTTTCTTTCCTTTTCTTTCCCCTTCTTTCTCTTTTCCCTCCCTCTCCCCTCTTTCTTTTCTCTTCTTACCCAGCCCGGTACTACGGTTTGGTCAGCCCGGTAAAATCCGTCAGGGGTGGTGGGGGTCCCCCCCCCCCCAACAGCCAGTTACGCCACTGATAAAGCGTAATGTTCGTAATGTTGGAGTGATTATTGACTCTACCATGAACATGAAAATACTCATCCATGAACATGAAACAGCTCTGAATATATGATCGTTGTCAATCGCATAAAGATAGCCGGTGTTCACATGTGACTTGTATATAATAATAGTAATCAATCTACTGTAAATATAAACAGTAGCTAGTTTTTTATAACATAACTCAAATAATCTGTTTAATAAAATATTCTGTTTTAATTAGATTGTTATAGAAATATACTGGTTTCACTACAATTCAATCAAACTAGAAAAAAAGATAAAATAGTAAGATCTTATTAACCTACATTCATTAATTGATGACTTTTTACATTTAAAGTATTGTTATTAAAGGGAAGTATTTAATTGAAAATAATTTTTAATGGAAGTAGGGATAAGTCTTTTTAGAAATAAAATAAATTTAAAATACTAAAATATTAGGGAAATACCTATACTACAAAGATAAAAACATTATTGAATGTATTAAAACTTCAGTACAAATTTTACATTTGAATTTCCATAAAGCTTTGAAGTTAATTGTTGTATTGAAATCATTAAAAGGGCAAACTAAGCACAGTGATTACTGAAATCTACAATGATTATTAATATACATGTTGTCAAAACATATGAATGAATTAAAGGCGTATAATATAGCAAGTCACAGTGTAAACTATCCTATTGTAAAGCTGATAAAAACAGGCCACCCAACATTGTCTACCCCACTTTAACAATGGTATATTCCATTTTGAGTACCGGTAGTTTTCGTCCGGGTGGTTATTGTCCTGGATGGTTTTGACTGATTTCTCTTCAGAATGAATATAATGATTGGATCAAGAATACGACCAAGCTCATGGGTAGGAAAAGTAACAACTCGAACAAAGTTATGGGATGAAAGAGTTGTTACAGCTTGTGCAACATCAGACTTAGTTGGTTTGTCAAAATGCAAATTAAAATTGCCTAAAATGAAAGGCTTCCCAGGAAGCAAGCTTACGACAGTAGCTAATCTATCATAACATATTTGAAAGGTATATACCAAAGAAGTTCGGAATGGTCAGTTACTATTGATAACTTTTAGCATAACGTATTAATGGGTTAATTACGTACCCTCAGTTGTCACTAACGTTGTCGGCGATAGTGTTGTATGTTCTGAGAAACATAAAACAAAAATCACTTACTACGTATGTAATTAATAAACAGTAACTAATTTATTTTAACACATTTCAAAGTATATAACAATGAAGCTCAAAACATTTAGTTATCATTAAAAAGTTTCAGAATATTATAAACATATCTATGATTTAACAACGTACCCTCAGTTGTTATTCGTAGTGTCGTAGGTTCTGAAAGATAAACAAATGTGATTCACTGCTTATAGAAAAATAAATTTAAAAAAATGAAATTTTCAATTGTTATTGATAAATTTTGGTATATATAACATAATACTGAAATAAGAACGTACCCTCAGTTGTCACTGATATAGTGGGAGGTAGTGTTGTAGGTGCTGAGAATTGTAAATAATGGGATTTACTGTATATGCAAATATTAAACAGTAGCTCATGCGTTATACCACATTTCATAGCAATGAATTAATGTAATCAAAAAATTTAGTTATTATTAATAAGTACGTACCCTCAGTTGTTAATGACGTTGTCGAAGGTAGTGTGGTAGGTACTGAAGAATATATAAAGAAATTTATTTAGTACGTATATAAATAATTAATAAACAGTAACTAATTTATTGTAAAACATTTCAAATCTATAACAATGAAATTCAAAACATTCAGTTATTATTAATCACTTTTAGAATAATTTAAACATATTTATGATTTCATAACGTACACTCAGTTGTCACTGACGTTGTCGGCGGTAGTGTCGTAGGTACTGAAAGGTAAAAACAAAATGTGATTCACTACTTATAGAAAAAAATAAACAGTAGCTAATTTCTTATAACATAATTCAAAGGTATAATTCAATGAAAATCAAAATTTTTAGTTTTTATTGATAACTTTTATAATATATAACATAATAATGAGTTTTCACTGATGTAGTGGGTGATTAGTGTTCTAGGTACTGACAAGTATAATCAATGGTATTTACTGCATATGATATTAGATTGTAGCGTATCTATTATAACACATTTCAAAGCAATATAATAATTTCATCAAAAACATTCATTTATTATTAATGACTTTATGCATATATAACATTAAGTACGTACCCTCAGTTGTTACTATCGTTGTCGGCGGAAGTGTTGTAGGTACTGAAAGGCATAAAAACATGCGAATTACTGCTAATATTATATATAGATTAAACAGTAGCTAATTTATTTTAACCTATTTTTAAGGTATAAAAAAATAAAATTTAATAACCTTTAGTTGATATTGATAACTTTTAGCATAAATAACATATACTTAAGTTAAAGAAGGTACCCTATCTTCTTAAGCGCCCGGGCGCTTATGCGCGCGAGTACGGTAACTATCAGTATACATCATTTTAGAGATGTTACAACAGTCCCAATGTAAACAAAAGGTTAGTTTAAAAAGTATTGATGAATGAAAAAGCAGACACCAAAATTTAATTTGTTTTAAAATAGATTATATAAATTACATCAAAAACTAACATTTTTTCCATTATTAATGCTTTATTATATATACATATATATCTATATATATATCTATATATATATACATATATATACACATATATACACATATATATATATACATACCTATATATACATATATATATATATATATATATTTGCTGTATTTAAAGCCTTATTATCTACTTTACAGATAAGTTTGTGATTATTGAACAGGAAACCAGTAGGCCTATAATAAATGCGATTGTTTTTACGTACATTACTTCAAAACAAATACAATATTGTTTAAAAAAAACCCCAATTAATAATACATCTAGGATGAAATAATAAGTATTGCACACTAAAAATTGCAACCAAACATTACTATCGTATGCATTTGCATCCCCAGACCCCACTTTGAACTTTTCAAACTTTCATTTAGCTTTAATGCCCCCTCTTTCTTTAACTCTCTTCCCTTAGATATCCGCAATGCTTCTACTTACTCCTCCTTTAAATCGTCCCTCAAAAGTTACCGCCTTCGTTCTCTCCTGTAATTCTGTTTCTTTGGCCTTTGAATTTTTGTTTTGAATTTGCACTGAGAATTCATATTTTGATTTCTACCTTATTATTTATTTTCAGTTTTATTTATTAATTTAAATTGATTATTTTCTTTAAATTAAGAGTGATTTGTTTTATAGTTCTCATATACATTGGCCTATTTTCTATTACTTTATTTGATTATTTTATTTAGGCTACTTTATTCCCTTGGTTTTTTAATGTCCCTTTTGCCTATTGTTTTTCAATATTGCTCTTTCATTTACATCTTTAATTGTAATTTAATTTTAATTTTTATATTAAGTTTTTATATTTAATTTTGAATTAATTTTTTTATGTAAATTTTGTATTGAGAGGTTATTTATTTTACTGTAATTTAATTAGTTTAATATGCTCTTTTGTTTTGTCTTACTATGTGTATTGAGGGTCCCTAATGATCAGCTTCGGCTGGATAGACCACCCTCAATAAAGATTGTTGAAATAAAATAAAAATAAAGACCGCTGTAGAACGGGGACTAGAAACGTGAGATTTTAGCACATTTAAGATCTGTAATGTCAATGTACTCCCAAGATTACGATTCTTTTTTGATAAAATATTGATGCATCTTAAGCATTCTATTGTCCTGTTCAACCATAGGTAGATCAAGTGCGATCGCGAATTAAACAGAGGCCTAGTTTGGCCTACACTACGTATTGGG